ATTGCTCTCCATTTTATCTATCCTGTTCAGAGAAAGGTTAGGTGATTTTTCTCAGGTCTCATAGAAAATAGAAAATAAGCCAGTTATTATTTGAACACAATTCTTCAAATTTCATTTTACTGTCTTTACTTATCATACTACCCTCTTTCTTCTCATCCATTTCTCCAATCTGTTTTATGTATTTTTGTAATTGTTCTCTCTAACAGATAGACCCTTAAGTCTGAAAAAAATGATCTCTTTTTTTCAAATAATTTTTAAACATGACACCTGTGAAAGCGAGCACTGATTTTCATATAAGTAGACCTAATGAAAAATGAATGTCAGAGCATGTGGATTCGAGTACTCACCTCTTCATCCTAGTTCTGAAGTGCATGAACAATGGAAAACTTCGGGAATTATCTTTGAATGTATTTAATAAATACTGTGTTTTGTTTGCCTGCTATTATGACAGGGTATTTGACAAAGCTAGAGGCCAGCAGAAAAGTGCATGACATGCAATCTCTCAAAAAGAAAAAGGGTGTGTAAAATTTACTCTATAAAAATATGGGTTTAACAGCCTTACTAACACAACAGAAAATGACTTTGCAAGCTGTGGCTTTCAAAAAGGGTCAAGAAGCCAAGCAATTCTATTCCACTTCAAGCAGGTGAGTAGAGAGATTAATTAGCAACAAATCAGTTGTCATGGGTCTTCCTTTAATCTGTTAAAATTGAATGTAGTGCCTATAGGAAATAATACAATTTTAGGTAGCAAAAGCCACATTGTACATTACGGCAAAGACACGCAAGAAAGAGATCTTGATGAATGAAAAAAATGATGCATGAATTATGATGACTACAAGTAGAGACAATGGCACTCAAAGCTTTGATATCACTGGGAGCCAGATGAAAGAATCTGAAGAGTCATTCTCTCTCTCTCTCTCTCTCTCTCTCTCTCTCTCTCTCTCTCTCTCACACACACACACACACACACACAATCACTCACTAAAGATTGAACCCAGTGCCTTTTCACTGTTATATCCTGTTATCATCCATTTTTTAATTCATCTTGACCAAGGTCTTGATGAGTCACTAAGTTGCCAAGACATGGCTCAAACTTGTAATCATCCTGCCTCAGCTTCCCTAATTCCTGGGATTCAGTTGTGAACCACCATAGGTAAATCTCTGTTTCACACCAGGGCCTGCTCTGTGACCCCTTGGCATACTGAAGTCAAAAACTAATAGGAAATAGCAGTGCTGGTCCAAAAGGGCACTTTGGCATGACCTTGTTTCTGGGTAAAATGAAAATGGCTGGAAATACAGTTCAGTGGTAGAGCTCAAGGCTATGTGTTCAATCTCGTGTAGAAGAAGAAAAAGGAAAACAGGAGTATTTGTAACATACTGTGGGATTCACTATTACTAATTCCAAGGAAAAGCATGGGCACCTTGCTGATAGACAGTGTGACTGAAAAGTACAGTGTTTTTTTAAACCAAAACTATACTTTATTGAGATGTAATTTGTGTACACAGTAGATGTATATTTCTTAAATGCAAATCATTTTTAAATAATTTTATTGAGAAACAAATATCAATGAGACAGTTCCAAAACCAATTACTAGCTCAGTTTCAATAATTAATACATTGCACATTGTTGTCTTAGTGGTTATTCATTGTACAAAGTGCAGACATGATATCCTGTCCACAGACACTATTACAACAAATCTCTCTATTCATTGAATTAAGAGAACACAGCTGTATATCTATCCTATTTTGAATATACAGATACAAAATGGTCATTCGTTTGTATCCCCTTTTTTGTTCAGTTTTGTCAGAGAAGGGTATTCCATTGTCATCTAAATATTATAGGTGTGTGAATTCAGCAAAATATTCTAATATAGTCCAGTAGTCCTTAATAGTAGTGGGTTTTCCATAAGGCTGGCATTGTCAGAAGTTGCTGACTTGAGCGGAAAAGTACAGTGTTTAAATGTTTTAAAACATATTATAGTACAAATAATGATAATATTCCCCTCAAAAGCCTCCTTTGATTTTGAGCACATTTGTCCCATCATTCTTACTACTTTCTGTGGCAGTTCTCAAGTCCTCTTTTGTGTCTTCAGTTTGTGCTATTGTGGCTACCTCGATGGCCCGAATTGATTCAAAATGATTAGCGACTACAATCACTTTGAATTTGGGGCAGAACCAAAGTTACACTATGCCCGAAGGTGGATACAGAGGTATTATAGTGACAAGAACAATGGAAAGTGCTTCCACAAGGAGGAGGTTTTTTTTTTTTTGGGGGGGGGTTGTTTTTCTTTTTTTTTTTTTTTTTTTTTGTAGTTCAGGGAAGGGTCTACAGAGTGTTCAGGATCTCACTACTAGATCAGACTCTGTGATCTGCCTGTTCACAGCCTCCCAAGAGCTGGAATTACAGGCATGCACCACCACACCCAGTCTCAGTGGCCATCTCAGCCCAGGGGTGGGTCCAGCAAGACAGGCCTGGAGGGGGATTATCTTGAGGGGATTAATACTTTGTCTTTCACAGTAAAGAAATTTCCCATTTGAGCATCACCATAAATTTTGAGAGCTTGTTTGGAGATTCTAGCAGGGAAGTGCAGCTACTTGTATGCACTTGACTAAGGAAGGAATGCTCCTCCTCTATCAGGGGTGGTCATCCTCCTCAATGGAGCACTCAGCTTAGGGAGGGCCACACATGGAGCATTGAGGGAGGAAGAGGACACCTGCCTAGCCCTCCACACCAGCCAAATCAACCCTGGCCATCAATGAGGTGACAGATGTCACAGTCAGATCACCCTCACATCCTAGCATCATCATAAATTTTTATCACAACCTTATAAGAGGGTATTTTGTACAAGACAGAGGCTAAGAAAAGGCCGAGATGTAACAGCACATCTTATATATCAGAAATACAGAGAATATTTCTGAGTAATTGAAGAATTTATGTATTCAAAACAATCTTAAAGTTTGATCAACAAAATTTCAAAGTAATTATAATTTACTGCCTTACATTTTACAGATTTTCAAGTTGCATAAAGGGCATATAAAGATAAGTAGATTACATGAGGTTAACTATAGAAGCAGATGTTATACCTTTCTCTCCCCTCCCTTCTTTCTGTCTTTCTTTCCTTCCTTAATGAAATACAGAGTAAGTTTCTTACATAACACAATCTTTGAGCAAAAATAAATATTATCCTTCCCTTATCCAGATTTTAGCAGACAACATAATCATGAATTAGCTAATCCTTGGGGACAAGTTAGCACACAGGAAGTACTTGCTGCTCTGATTTAGGGATACACTAGAATATTAATCAGGTCCTGTGATGGACAACTTTGCCTAAAATGAAAAATGCTGAAGACAGACCTGAAAAGAAAAGGTCATTAAATGGCATTGAGAAATTGCAACAGAACAGCAATATATTTCAAGGAAGCATAGCCAGGGAATGGAATGAGGTATATTGGTGTGTGTGTCAAAAAGCAGACCCTTAAACATGGTGAGGCTAAAACAAAACATGGTAACCAAAGCTCGCCAGGGCTGGAAGGTTCTGAGAATTTGCCTTAATTCTCAGAGCTGTGGAGACCTGTAGAAGCATCATGAGCATTAGTCCTGGGTCTCCTCACTAGCGATCTCCACTTTGGCAGCCGTGTGCCCTCACTATTACTCTGTCCTCATGTGACTATTTAGAAGCACTCAATACAGTAGGACTTCCTTTCTTTAATC